ATAAGGTTGTCCAAGAGTATAGCATAGCTTGTAACTCTGGGAGGACAGTTTGGATAACATTGCTCATAGCTGATCAGATTTCGGAAGGCAGGTTCAATGGTTTCTTGGACGAGAATTGATGGCATTTCCAGAGTGCCTCTTCTGAATTTGACATCCAAGATGCTTGGTGATCTCACTTTCCTGAAACTGATTCCAGATTCTTTGATGCTGGTGGCAGAAGGAATAGGCCGCCATGATACAGATGACTCTTCTTGGCCTTGCTGCTGTCCAAGTGGCAACACCAAAGAACTTCTTATCAAATCAAGAATGTGCTGGATTTCTTGATTGGCGAAGAGATCTAGTTGTATAGGGGATTTCTCAGATGAGAAAATGTTGTCGAAGAAATCCAAGGCAAGTTGTAGTAAGGACTTGGTTTCAGACGAATCACTTGTTAAGCTAAACAGAAGCTCAAGCACAAACCAGGGTATTTGATTTTCTAGCAAAATCAAGTCATGGTGTAAGAACTGAAGCATACAGGAAGTAGAGAAAATGGGATCATTTTCAATTTTCCTAACCTCTCCAGCATCCTTCCTGAACAGCTCAACAATGAAGCAGCCATCAAGCACCAACATTTCAATGAACGCCTGTTTGCTCATACGAATTTCTTCTGCATAGCACGCTCGGGCTTCTGTTTCATGTTTTGCGATCTCTTTGATGCATTCCATCAGTCTTCTCTCCGGATCACGTGTTCTGTGCAGAAGGCCTTGTAAGTAGTCAAACTTGATCTTCTCTTTATCTTCAAGATCTTTCTCGCCATGGTGAAAAGGCCCGATGGAAAACGCGTTGGGAATGTATGCTCCCTTATTGTGCCTACGAAGTATGCTGGGAATCCTGAAGATGCAAGGCGTGGTTGAACTTATAGTATCACCTCCCATCTTGCTCCTCATGTTAGATGCCATGGATTCAATTTCTCCTTCCATGATCAACTTTTCCCCTCTCCAAATATGTCTAAGCAAGGTTCTCTTCGAGGAAAAATGAAGGTAGAGAGTTTCTTAAACAAGGTAGTATATATTTGAAGAAGAATTGCTGAGGACTCAGCTGGAAAGGGTTCTGTTTTATATTCAATCCCTGCAACATAAGTTATGATGATTGATAAAGGAATACTTTACTCTCCATGAAAGGATTGGGTGTGTGGTTATTTCCACTGTAAAAAATTGATAAGATTATCACTCTCTTTATGTATTTTTAATAGTTTTAGTTTAATTTTATAATTTTTAAAATATAAAAATTTTAATTTAATTTTAAGTAT